AAATTGTTGCATATATTGTGAAACATGCTTTGTGCAAATACTTTTTGAAGTGCGTGTATACACTGATGCCATTTGAGCAACTGAGCCTAAAGTAGTTGTTGGCCGACCACGAGATGTCAAAGTGTCAGTGGATGAAAACCACGAATGTCAACGCAATTTCCACTTATGCGCCAACCATAATTAATCGAGTCAAGACGCAGAGCAGAGCAACAAAGCGGCTGTATATTCTAGTAGTACAGAATAGCAACGAATGCAATTGTGAGAGAGAGAGAGGGACAGAGGGGAAGAAGGAAGCATTAGTCTATAAAATGAATTTTGGATGGGTAGTAGTACTGGGGCCCCAGTAACGGCTGCAATGAATTCTTGCCAATTACAGCTGCTGCAGCAGCTCTGAGGCTTTCTGGGAAATTATGCGGGTGTTAAACCAACAAATCTTCGCATCTATGCCTTGCACGTGTGCTCTTGTCACGCTTTCAGTAACTGAATGCATAAATAAACTTACTCGCCAGTGCTATTGGGATTTCAGCTGACGCTATTGCTTACTCGAAATCCTGTTGTACTGTAATTACGCTGCTGCATATTAATACGCGGCTGTCACCAATGATATACTAGGGTAAGGAAAATGCATAAGTGTGTCTATATATATGTATGTTAGGATGAGTTTCAGGAAGTGTAAGTGTATTAGTGATGTTGTTTTCTTTACGGTGTTTACTTAAAATTCATGTGCATACACAACCGCAAATTGCTTTGCTGGCTGCTCGGCTGGAACTGACGAATACACAGATATAAACGTGCAATGTACTTATACTAAATATACAGATATAACTTTACGGTCAGATGATTAAGTTAATTTTTAGAAAAATTTTAGTAGGTTAAAGTGCAAGTTTCAAGACGCTAGAAAATTGTGTTGATTTTTTATATTTTTTTTTGGCTGACGGTGTTGTGCATTTTCTTCGATTTANTTCAAGACGCTAGAAAATTGTGTTGATTTTTTATATTTTTTTTTGGCTGATCGTGTTGTGCATTTTCTTCGATTTTTAAGTACGCTCGACTTTTGAATTGCCTAGCACAGTCAACAAAAAAAAAAATATTAAAAATCAACGCGATTTTCTGGCGTCTTGAAATTTACATTTTATCGTAATAAAATTTAATGGACTATTAAACTGCATACCTAGAAATTCGCAATAAAAAGTTTGAAATTTTAGGGTGTAAGTGGTATATTTTGTTGAATTTTTATAATTTTTGTATAAAGTTTGAAATGTTGATGGTTATATAATGCGCCAGACTTTTATCAAAAAATAATAAATCAAAGATAACTAGCCGAAACTGGTTAAAATGTCACCTTACTTAATCAGCTTACCACAAGTTTATATGTTTTAGGAACATACATACATATGTAGATATTTGCTTGGGGATTTCAGACCGCATGCAAATAATACGTTCTTGAATGCTGAACATGGCTCCGCTGCTAATAAAAAGGTTATCTATCCAAATTTTATGAAAAATAATTGAATTTTTTATTTACTGAAAAAATATAAGATTTTTGGATTAGGGACTTCATAATGTGTGAATAATACCTAAACCTCTCCACAAGCATATAAATAAAAATAAAGTGCTTCAAATTTTCTTTAGATCGATCCCTTACCGCCGGAAAAATTGAAAAAATTGGAAAGCGACATTTTTTCAAATGTTCCTATAGCATCTAGATGCATTTCGGCATCAAAACTAAATGCAACTAAACTAAATCTAGACTTGGTCAGTATGACCTTCCTTTTTTGGGAAATAAGACGAAGGCTTACTTCATTGGGTTTATTTTCCAGTCACCATTCGAGAGTTAGGTCCAGGGTTGCCTACAGTCTCAAGCATACAGTATGCTCATGCCAGCCCACAACATAGATGACATAGATATAGGTGCATTAGGGTGGTCCTTAAATGTAAGAAGCAAATTTTTAGTCGAAGATATCACATATAAATTTTGGTCCCGATTGAAGTCATTTCAGGCATGTCACACAGGGGTCAAAATTGACATTACCCTATGAAAACGTCTTAACCGGCTGCAATCGGGACCAAAAATTATGTGTGATATCTTTGACTTTATCAATACTACGATTTTGGGTATTAAATGAAAAAAAATATTTTGAATTTTTTGAGTCTCCATAAAGGCTTCTAGCCTTTGACCCCATCGCGACATGCCTTAACCGACTCAAATCGGGACTAAAATTTATATGTGATATCTTCGACTTTAGTAGTATTGCTTTTGGGTATTCAATGAAAAAAATATTTTTTGAGTCTCCATAGAGGCTTCTGAACTTTGCCCCCTGTGCGAGACGTCTTAACCGTCTCCAATCGGAACCAAAATTTTATATGTGATATCTGTGATCGTGGTATGTATTATCGATTGAGCGGGTGAGACTAAAAAAAATCGTTAATTTGATTTCAAGGACCACCCTTTGCATACATCAAATTCAAAGGTTGTTAATTTTTTTTAGAAGTTTTCCGACAACCAGGATCCATAGAAAGGAGGCATTTCATTTATTTTTAAAATAAGGCAGTCATTCATTTGCGTATTATCTCATATCCCTGGGATTATTTAAAATATCGAGCTAAGAAAATAGATTACAATTTATACTAACATAGTCCACCCAGCAGTTTTTGTATTTATTCCAAGTATGCAAAACAAATGTGTATAGTTATCGAAAAACGCAAATGGAGCTTACTGGTGCACCTACACGCACGGCTCACATTTACATACAAACAATTTTGTGTAAGTATTTATGCTGCTGCTGCTGTGTACATTCGTATAATTTATAGCTTTTATGTATTTTATGTATTTCATTCATTTCTACTATTTGTGGTGGTTATTAAGTTCAGTTCGAAATAATTGAGTTGGCATGCCAAAAATGCAGCTATCGATTGTATGGCTATGGCACGTGCTATGGAAGCATATATATGTACATACCAATTCGAAAGTGCGTATCCATGCTTATATCTATCGGTATGTAAGCACTGTAAAATAACTGAGGATAATACTGAAACTTACATGTGCGCATGCAGTACCACAATATTTAATTAAAATTTCATTTCACTGAATACGTCTGCTGACTTTCAACGATTTTAAAGCCGCAAAATGCAGGCTTCCGGTGCAAAATATATTAACTGGAAAATAAGCGAAAAGTAGGTTACAGCGTAGTAGGAAGTATGATAATTGTTTCAAAGGTATTAAAGTCAAGTAATCAGTTGCTTTTTTAATCTTTATTATTTTTAATAAGTGGTATTAAAGCAGTTACACAAAGAAGTGCTGCACTGAAGTATTATTCGTTCATTCTTTGTAAAAATAAGATTTGATGGATAAGGGAAAGCGTGAAAGCTGCGAAAAGTCCGTTAATACATAAGTTTTGTTGTCCATAATGCAACATTGAATTTTTTTTAGAAAGCTTGCCTGCAACCTTTTTGATCGGTTTATTCCGTCAATGATCTTCGTAGCATTCCGATCTGGGGCTTTTTAAACTTTTTACTATCTGAGGCCTTCTTTCCAAAGCAACCGCATTTATTAGCGATTTTACTACCCGAAATATTTTGATTTCATCTAAAAACGCTCATGACACCTTAAGCTCTGTAAAGGTGGAGCCGAATTTCGCAGGAAGCTCTCTATCATCCTCAAACTAGAGTGTACCGTTGGCTACTTGCTGATGGCTCTTTTACAGATAGACATTGTGCCAGTTCAGTGAACCCTGTGCGAAAACCGGTACCAAAGGTTTAAGGGAGACGGTGGGAGATCCTGCAACTCTCTAATTTTCTGTAGTTTATTGACGGGATATAGTTCACACCGGATGCCTATTCTCTTAATCTGTCCACTTTTTGTGAGACTTCGGTCTAAAAACCTTGGATCGCACTTTGCAACACGTCCAGAGAGTCTCTGCGAGACTGAAATCTGCAGTCTACGCCACTTTGGTCTCTTGAGGCACTCAGTCCTTTCGCTATAGCTTAGCAGTTACTGCTCGTAGAGATGTTATAAAAAGCTGATGCTTATGGTCTAAGTGTGCCCCTGCTTGGAGCAACTGCCTTAACCTCACCATACTTATGATGGTATTGATAATGCAAATATCCAACGACACACGCGCTGAGCTTGGTACTCCCCTTAAAAAAATGAATACTTCCTCAGACTGTGTCAAATAAAACGACTACGTTTTTCTTTCGGTCCAGTAAGAAAATTTGCGGTCGGTAACAATAAATTGTTACAAAATTGCAGCCCTCTATCTTACACAAAAAAAATAAAATTGTAGCCCATTGAATGTTAGTAACAAAGTGCAAGTTTAAGTAGCTAAGATTTACTGTTGATTTTTGGCATTTTTTTTTATTTTTTTATATAAAAAAGTTGCGAAACACATTTCTGCGAGCGCTAATTGAAAAATTAAGATAGAGGGCTGAAATTTTGCTTTAATTTATTTTTTGTGGCCGATAACGAAGCTATCCTATGGGAATGAAAGAAAAAAAATTGTCGTTTTTTTGACATACTTCCTTTTTAAGGCAAACGACTAACCCACTTCTAAGCTCGATAAATAAACCTCCAACAAAATAGAGTATATCTCTAGAATTTCATAATATCACTTTTCTGACACTTTTTGCTCGTTTACTCTCTGCGTTGGATCCCCACATTTAGTTTTAAAATTTCAAAAAATAAACACTCCACAGAAAAAAACATGAATTTTCAGCCGAAAGCGGTTTACACTCCAGTCATTTTTCAAAGCCTTTGCATTCGAAGGAGTGATCTCCAATTCCATTTTCTCCACTTGTATGACAAATGGAATTTTTAGAATGGGTGAGAAGAGCGTGCTCCTCCTCCAAACTGTGCGGTATAAATAGATTTTTTTGCAACCTTGCATATTTATCATACCTACTATATATGTATATACATAAACACATACGCATTTGCGTATCCCACTATGCGCGCTCGTTATCATTTAATCAACACAACATTGTAGCACATCATTCAAACTCACCATCGTATCGGTATATTCAATTAATTTATCCTCGGAAACATCATTAATTTTCTTGGCCTCCTTCAGTAAATCGCGCAAAAAGTTTTTCAGCTCATCAGCCTCAATGTAACCAGAATTATCAGTGTCGTATTCACGCCAAATCTGCAAACACACAAACCAAAAGACATAAGTAAACGAATACATAAATGGAATGAAATGATAAGCCAAAAGCAAACAAATTACACAAAAACAAATACTATAAAACAACAGCGCTGGCAAAAATTAATAGCTTAACGTAAGCTTAGAGGCAATGATTTAAATCCGGTGTGCAAATGAAAAATGATGGAAAATGAGTGGGATTAAAATATTTAGGTTGGATCTTCGGATTTGCGGCAGCAAAGTGTTAATGAAAGGGAGGACTTGCACATTTTTTTTTAATAATTGCTGCGACAAGGAAAGTTTTAGGCAAGCAATTTTTTTGCAATATACAAACTTCGGAACGGTATAAAGTTTAGTAATTTTTTATTTTCCTTAACTTTCTTCTTCGCAATTTTTCAAATTTTGATTCAATCTTGAAAGGAAATTTGTTTTGTTGCTACATTTTTCTCATGCAAAATGCTGCTTACCACGTCCTACCTAGCTCCTCTTTTTTCGTCATTTATTTATTTGCTCAATTTCTTTCCACACAATTTGATATGCATTAATTTTGCAAACGTTGCATGAAATATGTACTGTAATTCACAGTCTGTCTGCCTGTCGACCTTTCTGCTTAGCGATATGCCTGCGTCCTTGTCAATACACGAAGGTTCAGTTACGCTGTCGCATTCTCTAATTGAATTCATTTATTTATATCAATGTCATGTCGAAATGTATTTTGTATGGCCATCCAATGTTGGCGCGACTTTTAAATGAATATTTATTGTGGTTAGGTTTGAAAAAATTTTAGTTATTTATTAAGCGTGTGATTAGCATGGAAGATGATCAATCGACTGAAGCAATGTTCTTAGAAATTGTTAAAAAAGTGAAAAAACTGTTACGAATTACGCGTGTTTGAAAAAATAATCATATAAGACCTTTTGGGGGTGCCGGGAAGGAAGAATGCATTTATGAACAGGATTATTACTGAGGCAAAGTTCGAGTTATCCGTACGAGCGCCAGTGGAACCAAGAGTCGGTGCAGCGGCATACGACATTACTTCGCCACACTTTTCGAAAAATAAAAAAAAAATAAAATATTTATAAAAATAAGCGGGAAAAGNGAGTCGGTGCAGCGGCATACGACATTACTTCGCCACACTTTTCGAAAAATTAAAAAACAAAAAATATTTATAAAAATAAGCGGGAAAATAATGGAGGTCACGTTGCAATGGCTAGACCGAATAGCTGAGGTTTTGATTTAGCCCTTCAGTTTGCTATTTATTTACAAAAAAGGGAAAGAGTTTTGAATAAAAAAAAAATACCGAAGCAGGATAGTCTCCCTATTGTCTACTCTGAGTATTATTTATATGACAGCAAAAGGCTGGAGCGAGGTTTTACGGCAAACAAACCTATTTGAATACATGGAAAACTTTGGGCGCTTTGAGCGACCTCTAAATATTTTTTGATTTCAAAATAAAAAAATACTAGGGGTATATATTTTTTTCTCGGTATAGAACAATCCTAGAGGGTGAGAGCATACAAATTCCGACTTTACTTTTATTTTCTACAGTTATGTAGCCCATTCAATTCTAGTCTAATGAAGTGCAAGTTTCAAGCTGCTACAAAATTTCGTTGATTTTTGGCAACTTTTTTTGTTGACAGTTTGAAATTTGGGTGAAAATTTACGAAATTTTTATAATTTTTGTACAAAGTTTGAAATGTGAATTTTTATTATGTTTGTTGTATAACCAACTAGACTTAAAACAAAGAAATTTAATAAACATTAAATAAACAAAAGACAAATAGCCAAAACTAGCCAAATATCCCACTCCTATTATTTTGTGGACAACTGTACGTATATTTGTATAAAAATGTGGTCTTTCATTAAATTCCTCCCTGTTTAATTTTGAAAGGCCATCATTTCGCATTATAAAAGCTTTTTCTTTACAATGAACTCTTTTTCAACTAATGGCCAAAGCAAACTTGCTCAGTCTTGGTGTAAAGTTAGCAACTTTTGAGCGCAAATTGATTGTGAGCGTGCAAGCAAAGCTATGTTCGTACGAGTAAATATGTATGTATGTACATATGAGTAACCGTTTGACAAACAAAAACTAAAGAAAAGTTAGGAGATATTAGAGGCTTGAAAGTGTGGTAAAATGTGATATGAAAAAACATGGAAAATTTGTGTAAACGGAATGCAAAATATGTTTTAGTCTAGCTTTAATCGCCTTGTCTTTATACTTTCTNTTAGAGGCTTGAAAGTGTGGTAAAATGTGATATGAAAAAACATGGAAAATATGTGTAAACGGAAGTGCAAAATATATATGTTTTGGTCTAGCTTTAATCGCCTTGTCTTTATACTTTATTTTTTTTCATAAGTAAATACGGTATGTAACGATTTTTTTAAGGATTGTCGAATTGCTTCCTCAATGACTTACCTTCATGAATTCGACACTCGATTCCAGCGGGTTATCGAAACGGAAAAGCAAAAGGAAATTCTCTTCCATTGGTAAAAGTTGGGCAAGCTGTAAGGAGAAAATGAAAAAAAGAAAAAATTAATTAGTTGCATCACAGAAAAAATCAGCCGCAACGTTTAGAGTTGGATTGAAAAGCAGCCAAGAGTAAAAATCTAAACTAATGAAAAAAGGTAAAGTACAAAGTGGAATCTCTCATATTGGCTTTGGCAGATTAACACAGATTTAACGATTTACTTTTGTTGCTTATTTTTCCTATGTATTCTTGTGTTTGAATTTCTCTTTTGATTTTTCGTTTTGATTTCGACTGCCACACTTCACTAACTTTGGCTTAATGAAATCAAAATTTTGGCTAAAAAAATCCGACAAACTCTTTTCGAGCGCAACCGACGCGCAAATTCGCAATCAAATTGAATTCAAAATCAAAATTGGATTTTTCAAGCGCACAAATTGCAGAACGTAAAATGTCATCGTTGTGCTGCAATATCGCCGGTTTTCTCTTCATTTATTGGTATCTAGAAATTTTTTTGTGAAGCAGCACACTTGCATAAATTGTAGAGTCGAGCTGCCCAATTGAAAGCTGAAGCAGGTGTTGATATTGAGACCTAAATGCGCAGTCGAGTGTGAACTGGCTTAACTAAATAAACGGCTATAGCTTGATCAAAATGTTGGTACTTGTGTCTGATTGAAAAAAAATACATATATATTTAATAAAATGTTGATATTTTATATTTATTCGAAAACAAGTTCGATATCAATTAAACAAACAAACAAGCCTACCAAACAAAAAACTCAGCCTTACCAAGCTATCCACCTCAAGCGCTTCTAACTCACATTTGCATCTGTTACATTCGCTTTTTGAAGTTCTAATGCTTGTTCCTGCTAATCTGCTAAAACGCACAAGCACCTAAACTATATATAAAGCTTATGGTGTGAAGGTTTTTGCTGTCATCGCTTAAATGCACCCGGTTAAATTTTAACACGCACATTTTAGCTGCCAGCATACTTTGGGGCGTTAGACAGCTGTTATCTGAGTGTAATTGCTGTGAGGTGAAACTGAGGCGAAATTTACGGTGAAAATTAGTGCAAGTGCGCACACGGTGAGTGACTGTGTTACCAATATTCTAGCTTGCTTAGACGCATGCGAATAACTCATATCTGTGAAAATGTGAGATGAAACCAAAATTTTAGTTATAACATTTGTAGGCATTCACTACGTCGCATTGGCTTTTCAGAATTACGTAATTGCAGATAAGAACAGAGAGAGCTTGAATTATGAAAGTTAAAAGTAAAAGCGGAGTGTTGTAAATAATTTTACACATAAATAAGTGGAGTTACTGCTTGTTGGATAAAATTATTTGCTATACTAAAGTGTAGAATGGGCGTTGCTGTGGATACTGAAGAGGCCCATAGTAAAGTCCACCACTGTATATCTGGTCAATAGGGCATGGTGGAAGGACTCCACCATAATATTCACTACCCAGGCAACTACGGCAGTATGGTTCAGATGTGAGTCTTAGGCTTAGCTGGCATGATACCCATCTCAACAAAAATATACCACTGGTGATTCTCAACCTTGGAACTTCACACAATTCACTGTAGTCTGCTACCCGCATAAGTCTTGTTAGAAATTAATGCGAAAAATTAGGGGCGGCAGGTAAGCGATTCCCTGACCAATTGTAAACGCACAAGTCACTTTTCTATTGCTTCTAAAATGGCAGACACTTCCAACATTCCTTCCATCAGATTTCGACCAATCTGTAGAGAGTTCACCACTTCTTCATTAAATGCTTCAGCAATGTGTAGAAATCTGAACCCGAAGTAATTTGCGTAAACTGCATACTTTCCCCCTTGCGAGTTCGAGAGGTGTACTTTCTCTAATTTTTAAGCAAAAAACAGCTTTTTGACATTCCTCATCATTTAAGTTGTTCTTTCGGGCTCGACTACTTCTTCGGCGGCGGTACTTAATGAGCGGGAAATGTAGTTCCACTGCTCGCGTATGTCGGTTTCAGTGTTGCCAGAACTTTTTGGGCCGACCGGCTAGATTGGCAAAAAAAGCGGCTAAAAACGGCTAAAATGTTTTAGTGAAAATTCACATGCTTTATTTAAATAAATCGCAAGAAACGAAAGACTAGTTAACACCATTAATTTATATCGAGTNGGAAGAAAATTAAAATTCCGCCAACATAAAAAAGCAGTCAAATGCAAAATTGCCAAGCAGCGATGCTTTCGTGTGCATACATATGTATGAACGTATATGCATATAGTATAAGCAGTTAGAATTCTGAAGCTGAATGGGAGGCAAGGGGCTCGAGCTTCGACAGGAAGCCACAGCAACGTAACAACAGCATCACAGTGGCGAAAATGCGACGACATATTGTCAAAGTTTTTTACTTTATCCAATGTGCCCTCAAGAAAGTGGCTATGAGAAACTGAAGCTGGAAGTTAGAATAACAAGCGACCGTGCTCAACGAAGCATGCAGTTGAGTTGCTGCATTGTAATCCTTCCAAGGACTAAACGAAGGCAGGCATAAATGGCATGACGCGGAGTTACTGCAATTTGCTGCATTCTCTTTTTTTTCAACCATTCGCCAAGGCATACGAAAACTACGGAGGAAAAAACGAAGAAGTCCTGAGCAAGAGTGAAATAGTTGCGAAAAATATAAATGACGAGAGGAAGCTAATGAAAAAAGTATGATGTGAAGTGAAAGAAGTATGCTTGTACCACAAAATGAAATACGTAAGAGCGTAAGGACGGCGCAAACTTAAAAAACTTATGCAGAAAAATAAGCATTTGCGGAAAAACTTCACATTTTTACGCATTCATGCTGCAAGTGTTGCAATAACGCCTGCTGACAGCGAACTTACAGTTGCTTACAGCGCTCAAGTTTCGCATGATGGAATTTTAAAATGCAACACATTGGCTGCCAAAAGAAAATTTCTGAACAAAATAGGATAAGAAAAAGAAATTAAGGTTTTAAAATGCTGCTGTTGAAAAGTAAAAGAAACTGAAATTTATGGAAAAAGTAGTTAAAACAAGCCAGAGTTAACTGGAAGTTACTCGTATTTTGTTATAATACGCACCACTCTCTGCTCTGTGTGTAAGTGGGTTTGCAACTGAGTGCAACTACTTTAGAATTGTTGTAAATTGCAATTTCATAGCAACTAATTTAGTTTGAAAAAGTGCAGTGAAATCAAATTAAAGTTGAGGGGAAGATAAACTTGTACAGAAATACATAGTACCTAGGTAAAAATTAAAGACGTGCATATGCATATATGTAAGTATTGGTATTTTTTAAATTTTCGCTGTGAAAAATTTTCGGCGCCTTGGGAGAGAACGACGTAAAACTATGAATCTCTTAATGGACTACGTCCTCAATAATCGGATGGATCCTGTAGGAATTAGGGTTGTTGTTGTCGTAGCAGCGTACAAGTTCCTAAAATACTTTTTGGGGAGTATTGCTGGAGTGACAGTCCCGTGGCCAGTTATAAATCTGGGTCGTTCCGGTTACGTAGACCCGACTGTCGTGGGAACGAAGGATTTAGGGTCATCATATGCGCCATCTAAGACTCTTGTGGAGATTTAAAAAGCCACAATGTGGTGCCACAAGTGCTTCGAGAAAAGAATCTGGTACAGACTTTAAATAATCGATTATGCATACATACATACATTAGCGTGCCTCACCAAACAAAGTTGCTGGTTTTTCCACCGGAATTATAAAATGTATGATATTTTAAGACTATCGCAAAAATTATTCGCGAAAAAATTTTAAGATATTTGATTGTGTTGATAAAGTTTTTTAACAATTTTATGCAGACCTTGTTTTATCATTTGAGGTGATTTTTGTTTTGAAAAATACTTATTCTTTAAAACTAATTTCACTTATAAATAATCAATTTTTGGAGGTATTTTCAAATCGGTACAGCTCACGCATATCTACATAAATAATTTTCCGAAATATTTTGGCGGAAGTCTTAAAATAGTAGTAAACTGTATAGTTCCAATGGAAAACCCGTACCGATTTTTTTTTGCATGGAGAGTGATGCATCCTATTGTACAGACATACATATATTCGACATTCGCAATCGTTTAAATAGGGTATCATTTTGTACTTATAGTACATTCCCACTGCGCTGAAATCTGAGATTTTGCGAAATCTTTCGAAATCCAGTGGGATTTCCCGTATATTTTCATGATTTAGATTTCTTAGATTTCAATCATTCTTTCGCTGAATTAAATATCATTTTGGAGAGATTTTAGATTCTTTTCCTAAACAACTTTCTTCGACAAAAAAGACACGATCTAAAAATTTGTAACCATTTTCCTTACACGCTTAGTTTTACTAGTCTTTTTATCTCAAAATCCCCTGGTGAAGTCACTCACTCGCAACCTCTCAACGAAAATTGGCATACATATTTTGACCTTCATAAATATGTACATATGTATGTATTTGACCCAGCCCGAGTGGCTCTTTTTAAATTAAAACTTTTTTTCAGACTGATGGGTCAACCGAAATCTAACATATAAACACTAGAAAACAATACTATTTCAATAAATTTAATGTCTCGCGCCAACAGCCGGTGAAGCAAAAGAAACGCCCAAAAGATAAATTCATAAATCACGCATCAGATCACATTTATGCCAGAAATTAAAATTTATTCACCTCATTACTGTTTGTCACTGTCACACAGACATACACACACACACACATATGTACGACGTGCATGCAGAGCCACGAGGCTGATTAATTAAAAGTTAAGTGCAATATCTGAAAAAGACACATATGGCCCTTTGTGGTAGAACCACCACACCAAGCACCGCAGCACCACAACCACAAGCGTATGCAGCTGTGCTCACGCGAAAAATGAAAGAAAGCACACTGAAGTTAAACATTAGAAAAACCAAAGACAACTTACAAGCTGTTGAATAATGAGTGGCGCGAAAAAGTAAAAAAAAAAGCAAGTGGTATTTGTGCTCGAATAATTGCATGCTCACACGCATATGTATGTATGTATGGAAGTATGCATTTTTTCACACGAAATCATTTAGTAATGCATTTTTTGTAGTGCAATTTCGGGGAGTGACTTGTTGCTGCAGTCGCCAGCAAAGGAAAAACAAGTTACAAAGCATGAGAAGACAAAATATTTTAAAGTGAGTGCGCTGCTAGCTTTCTAACACTACAATGTAACTTTTTGTTGCCTTAATTTATAATTTTTTTTTTATTCTCTCTTTCCCTTCGGCAGCAAAGCTATTTGTTTTGTAGTTTTTTTTTTGTATGTTCGCCAGCGTGACAGTCAGCACAATGCATTTGTGTATGCAGCTGTCACTTTGACATCTTGTTTGTCGAATATTTTTTTTGGCATACTGTCAGTGAGAAGATTTTTTTGATTTGTTTCTCTTTGTAGTTGTTGTTGATTCTAAAAATTGTGAGTTGATTTAGTGCGTGCTGACGTTAACATTGTCTGCCGTACTGGTGACGTGGCCCTAAATTAAATTGGCCGCATGTATTTGGACATTTGGTTCATGTTTTTGTCATTGGCGCGAAATTTTATAGCAGAGGCAATAATTTTCTGAGTTAAAATATGCAAAAAAAATAGTTCAGCTCATCAAAAAGGTCATGCAAGGATATCAACGGTTTAGTAGAAGGTCGGCAAGAGGTTCCAAAACGCCCTATCTCAGCAATTTTTTCAACAATGCCCTATCCCAGAACTTGATTGAAGAACGCCCTAACTCAGCAAATGGTCAAGAATGCCCTATCTCAGATTTAAGAACGCCCTATCTCAATGCAAATTCAATATGTCGGCAGTTGAGATAAGGTGTTTTTGAACAATTTGCTGAGATAGGGCATTCTTCAATCAAATTCAGAGATAGGGCGTACTTGAAAATCATTTTCTGGGCAGGGTGTTTTCCAACCGACTGCCGGGATAGGTCGATTTTCCACTCAGCCGTCGATTTATAAAACCAAAGCTCAATACTTTGTACAAAGCTTAGAAAAATTGAAAAAATTTTCAACATTTTAGGCAGATTTTTTAGAAATATTTCAGGTACTCAGTTTTCAGTTTTATAGTTCAAAGTAGATCCTCATCCCCCGGCTATAAAAAAGCAGTGGTATACCATCTGATGATTGGATACTACCATTCACTCAGGAACTCCTGATATAAAGAAAAGTTGTTGTGTCGCTGCTAAAGAGACTACCGCAGCATGCAAAGCCACGATGCAGTCAACTTCTAGGCGAGCGACATACAAATTAATGAGGAGGGACCACCAAGAGCAAGAAAAGACACACAGAAAGTCATTGGTGCGAAAGACTTCGAATGCTGGAAGGCAGCTATTCGACACGAAAATTCTTTAATAAAGTAAAATAAGGCTGCAGTCAAACGGTTTCAAGGCCTGGGGCTGATCCTACAGAGACGAATTAATCTGGTAACAGACGATTAGAGTACATTTGAGACATAGAGGAATCACTTGTGAAGGCTTTTGACGCAGGTCAATATCTATCAAAATCTATTTCTACAACGACATGCCTAAAGTTGGAGTCATCATCATGGATTGCATCAAATTTGGGAAAAAACCCTCGAAGACGTTAAAGACCGAACAAGTTTTTAGGCAGACCAATTCATTTTCGCGCGAGTTCTTCAATCTGCTGCTAGACAGCGTAGTACGAGCTACCAATTTGAATCGCAGCGGCGCCAAAAGCACGATCTCGAAATCGTCGATTCGGCTTGAACACCAAGTCAGCGCAGCATTCTTTAGCTTAGAGGAGAAGGCAAAGGAAGTTGATGCAGCGGTGAATTATGGTATTTCGAAAGTACCATCCTCAGCAAAATACAAGGCACTGGCCGAACTTTGGAAAGAAAAGAGGAAATTGGTGATTTTTTATCAGTACTGCTCATTTTCTTTTATATAAAGAGCATGCGCAACTAATTAGGGTCTGTAGCTTTGCAGCTGTTAAACGATTTTCATCGTAATTTAACTGAGCAAAATGTTTCCTTGTTCTTCTTGAAGGATTTTGGACGAATCCCTACAAAGCTCTTCTGTGCCTACTGGCGCAGCCAAGTGAAGTCAGGTCGTTCTTCACCTGGTATTTCCATCGCATAGGAGGTCCCTTTTCCTCTGTTACCAGCAGTATTTGCTGTCCATTCGAATAACATTACCAAGCCAGCGTAGCCGCTTTAAGCAAGCGTTGCTGTTTAGCTTTTCTACCTCACCCAAATTAAAATTTCACTCATTCGTAAATATTGGACGTAAATAATAAATGAAGAAAAAGTTTACTTACAGTACGAAAAGGTAACTCTGTACTGCTTACTTATTAATATATTTAAGTGCATACATACTTCCAAGAGTAAAATATAAAATGTATGTATTGTATGCCAAATCATGCATTTCATAGATAACACGCGTGCTTAAATATAACCTAAGCCAAAATCGAACTCTCTTTCATCCGCTTTGCTTTATGAGGCGCACCGTTTAATACATTAAAGCTTTTTTAAATCGCCCGTACGCCAGGTCGTGTGAGTATCGTATGCTTCTCATTTTTCAAAAGCTGATTTTGGTGTATTTCTATCATTTTTTTCTACTTTCATTATACGAACGGCCAAAGCATATGAGCTTTGACAGCTACATCTTTTCCGCATTTCACTCTATCTTTTTCTTCTATTTTTCACCTTTCTTAGAGTAAACAAATTTATGCTGCTCATTCCAGTGGACTCATGCATCAGCTATGCGTAAAAGCACTCAATTTTCGGGCCATGAATATGCACACACAAATACATAGATTTGCATACTCTTATACTACGTCGACAATCGACCATATAGTCTGCCTGTATGTACATATATACCTGCACTTTCAAATCATTTCAATTCATTTCGCCAGCTTCTTAACCAGAGAAAGGAAATCAATTTCATGCGACAATCAATTTGCATGCGACATCAAAGTGATTGCACCGAAAAAGCAGAGAAAACTGAGCACAAACACAAGACTCGAAAGCAAAATGCTTTGGTAGGTTTGTGGATAAAAGGAAAAAAATTTCAAAAGGTCTTAAAAGATATCAGAAAATATATGCTAAATACTGCTGGCGCACCTTCTACTCCCGCATCTTACTGCTCATTACCCGCATCATTTCTTTTTAATCTTTCCACTTTTTAACTTTTCTAATTCTTTTTGCTGTCTTTCTTAAGCATTGCCCCTTCCACACACTTCACTCACTTACCTCTCTAATGTCGATTTTGCCATCCTGATTATCGTCGTAAGCCTCCATGAAACAAGATTTCAGCTCCTCAAGCATTGTGTCGGTGACAGCCTAAAAATGTAGAAAGAAAGAAAAAAAATAAGCACACAAACGCCGCACGGTTACAACAAAGCTAAATTTACATATGTATGTCACTAATGTGAAGTGATATGTGCTTGAAGAAATTGTGTGCAGTCGATGGCAAAGAAATCAGTAAGGGCTCAAAGAATGATGCTCTTAAGCATCACAGTGAAAGTGCTGCTGGCTTTAGCACCATAAAATGTCGTAGGATTGGAAATTTTTTGAATGAATTAGATTTTTCGCCCGGAATAAATTTTATATTTTGTGCGAAGCTAAGTCTTTAAAATATGCATTCATGTATTTAATGGAAAATTTTGGATTTTTTTTTTTTTTTGGTTAAAAAGAAGGCACCTTTCGCATTAATGATATTTATTATTTATTCTTCTTGAGCCAGTTAAGCCGTAGGGTTATTTATTGCAATATGTTTTTGCAGTAATAATATCTATAAATATTTAAAGCGTAATAAAAGTGGGGATTACTGAGCCTTGGTTGCACTAGTTTTCAATAACGTGCACCTTTTTGGATTATAAATATTCTATGGTTTTCTACAGGTGTTTATTCTCAATTGACTATGATATGATGAATAAAAAAAAATTAAAAAACTAAAAAAATAACAGAGTGTCGCACAGTTTATGAATTTTTTTAAGTCACTTCTTATTGATCGCCTGTTAGACTGATTCATGCAGCTGTGTAATGTAATTCATGTTAAAAGATCCTAACTTTGATAATTGCTCGAAGTTGTTACATTATTTTTAACTCTTCCATTTACTTTAGACAACGCTTACCTCTGGACTGATGTCTGTGGCATTGGCACTCGAAACGAATTCCCGCAGGAAGCCATCCAATTCTGTTCCTTCAATATAACCGTTACCTAAAAGAACAAGAGGGTTTTGATATTAGATTATATCGGTAAGTAGATAACTTAAAATGAAAGTACTTTTTTATTTACTCTCTTAATATAAAGAAGGTTTTGGAAGCTTGAACATACTGTTTTCTGATATAATCTCAGTATTACAGTGAGTGTCATAATCATAAGATCACAACATATTGATAGCTTTGACTTTTTTCAGATTAATTTTTAATATTGTTTATAACTCGCAAATACCCGGCGTGCTTCACTGCGCCTTAAATACCCGTATTGCAATATTTCAATTTAATAAAATCAAATTTTTCAGAGAGATGGCAACCCTCTTCAAAAATATTTACGGAAGCTAGCTTTTCTAAAGATTCTAAAAATTGTCGATTTGGATTCTGTTGCTCTAACAAAGAACCGCCATATTAATTTTTCTTTAATATCTACAATATACAGACATCGATCAATTACAATTTTACTTATGTATAGATTAAAAAAAAATCGAAAAACTCTCGAAAAAATTTCAAGCCTTTTAATTAGATCGCTTATGCCGAATTTCCACTAGGCATTAATATTACAAAAAATTGGAGACATTTAAAAAAAATGCTATTTAAGCATTTTTTTTGTAGGAAAGAAAACGACATAAAAAATTGAGTGGGCTGCAAAACTGCATACCCAAAATCATTCTAGAAAATCTAATGAAAAAGTATGAAATTTTGAGGAAAGTTTATTCATTTTTTTAAATATTACATAATGTTTGAAACTTGAATTTACGCGGTTTATATACAAAAAATGATTTAAAATTAAAAAAAAATTGACTACACTTACCAGTATGTGGTGACCTAATATTTAGTGCACAACCCAGCAAAAAACACGATTACCACAGAAACGAAAGTGGAAACGAGCTAGGCGATGGGAATCACTTACCCTTTCGCTTCAAGAAGGCCTTATTTTAACATGGGCATGTCATTGGCGGTAAGCCCTTACCCGCAGCATTACCTTCAAACGAAGGGAGAACGCATGGATAAACAGAATCCAGAGAAGCGAACAAAGAATGCCTTACAGAGAAACTAATGTAGAATGCCTAGATAAGTACATACTTATTATAATAATAATAGATTGGCGCTTACACATATGTTAGTGTTTGGCCGAGCTTCTCCTCCGACTTGTGGCGTGCGCCTTGATGTTGTCACACAAAGCGGAGGGACCTACAGTTTTACGCCGACTCCGAACGGCGATTGTATTTTTCTGAGAAGCTGTTTTTCATGGCAGAAATACAATCGGAGGTTTGCCATTGCCTGCCGACGGACGACCGCTGTTAAGAAAAAACCTTTTTTCTATATTTTTTGCGATGTTGCTT